AGGATAAATATTTTCCTCTTTTTGAGTTATATCCATGTAGTATGTTTTCAATTTTTATTCTAGTATATTATGCACAGTATTCAATTTTAAACCAAAATTTGAGGCTACCCAAAATGTTTGTAATGATGCAAAAGGATGATGCAACTTTTATCAGAGTTTAAATACCTACAAATGTTCCAATAAAGTTCTGCATATGATAATCATAGCTAGAGGTTAAAGCAAAAGGAATAAATATTGAGGATTGAATTGTTTTAATGTAGGACACTGTGAAGAATGCACTAAAATTATGAACAAAATTTAATTTAGAAAGCTGTTACACAATAACAAATATGTATGTTATATATGTATAATGTTGATGCTGCATATCAACTTATAGTATTTTAAGATGATACTGAAAATACTGTATTTTGTTAAATTGACAAATTAAAAATTTTAGGCTATTTTGATGATTGTTACATGAGATTTATCCTTAGGTTTATTTAAGCAAACATCTCATAATTGTCTTTTTAATCCTTGCTCTATTAGAAAAATAGAGTAAATTTAAATATTATATCTTAGAGAAACTGATAATTTTGTTGGACCTCATGTTTCCTAATAAAACGGTAATATTTTACAGGCAGGATTTTATATGCCATAGAGGAGAACATACTGAAATAAGAGAACACACAGAAAAGAAAACACATGCTTTTCAAGATGTCTCCATTTTGTAGATTTGAAACCTCTTTTGAAATGTATGCTTTTTTATTTCAAATCAAGAGATTTAATTAAAGAATCACTTGTCAACAGGCATCTGTGCATCTTATCACATGCAAATTTTAGAGACTAATATTGCTGAGCATAATTGGCTTAAGGAAATATAGTTTGGGTTTTGCTAATAAAAATAAAGACTAAAGATATTTCAATATGTCATAGACTATATTTCAAAGTAGGCTTAGAATCTATTTTAAATGACCATACCAATAGAATATTTAGTTGCATCATCACTAACAGTAGGCTTAGGTTTGAATTTGGCCATAGAACTGGGATCTGCATATGAGTGAGCATCTTTCTTTCCATTTTAAATACTTGCTTTGTCAACATTAGGAAATGAACGCTTCCATATCCAACTGTTTATAATGCATAAGTAAGAAATTTTCTTAGCAAATCAGTCAAGGACTCTGAAAAAAAAAAATCGTTATTCTTAGCTCTCCGCAGAGGATAAAAAGCAAGCTACATGCAGATGAAGAAGGAAATTTCTTTATCTTTCACTTTGTCTTATTTGCTTATTGTTTAAATGCTTATTGCCTTTTTGTCAGTATCTTAGTTATGGAAGAAATCTCTATTGCTGTTGTTAAATATTCTTTAAAATTTTGTTAAGGGTGAATTGTTAAGTACATCCCACAGGAACTATGACGGTGGATACCTGAACTAAATACCAAAGTTATTTTGGTAACTAATAAACCATATATTTATCTGATACTATGTCATAAAACTAAATATGCAGTCATAACCTTTTGTAATGATTTAAACTTTAGGCAGTAAGCTTGAACCTGAGATAGAACAATTTTTTGAGGTTTCTTTCAGAGGTAAAAGAAACCACAGAGATCACTAGCCAGACTTTTCATTTTCTGTGTGAAGAAACCAACCCAATGCAGCCAAGCTAACCAACAACCTGCCAGTGATTTTGTCTAATCGACCGCAGAGCCAAGACCAGAACTTTCTTTTCTGATTACCAATGGAAAATATCTTCTCATAATACTTTATTTATAGGAATTCTATTAAAAGAACCTTATATTTCTATTAAAATTTCTTATATTTCTATTAAAATTTCTATTAAAAGAAATTATAGACTAGTTAAATATACCAGAAATTCCAAAGGACTATGAAAAACATCACACTTTATTCTAAAACTGTCCTAAAATAAATATACTAGCAAAAACATGAATATGATTTAATTACTTGGTTTTATTATTGATTTATTTGTTTACTTTGGTATTCTGAGAAACGTGCTCTACAACTGATTTAGATGGTTCAGGTCATTTTTCTCTAAGCTGTTGGAGAAATTTCGATATGTTGACTTTTATTCACTGAGGTTAACATGAGTTTTCCGTATCATACCTTCATTACTTAGATTACAGTATTTAAAAATCATTATTGGGATATTTAAGTAATTGAAGTTTTAAAGAATTTTGGTTGCAAGGATATAGAGCTTCTGCCACTCAGTGTCTTCCACAAACCAACAGTATTAGAATCACTGAGGAATGTATTAGAAATGCAGTCTCAGCTTCCCCTCCCCAAGACCTAGGCCTGCTGAATCAGTCTGTATTAACATGTGCCAAGGTGATTTCCTATGCACATTAAGAATGAAGAAGCACTTATTTAAAGAGTTAGAAATCTCAGACCCTCATCTTGTTTGTTGTTTCCTTGTCTTTTCTTGCCTTTCTTTCTTCATTCTCCCTTCATAGAAAATGAACATCAGAACATCAGGATCTGCTTTAATAGTCAAAAAGAAGACAGTTCAAAACAATGTAGAAAGGATGAGAGGAAATACATGTCTTCATTCTGAGATGGCATAGGGGACTAACAAGCTAATGACATGTCTTTGGAATGTTTTTTAGCCTCTAGCAGATCCACATTCTTTACTCTCTTCTGAGTTTTCCCCGAGTCATTACTCACATGGGTCCCTGCTCTCAAAACCAAGGTTGTGTAACTGTACTGAGAAGTGGAGTATAGGAGTTAATTATATAGTGTTGAATTTACAGAGGGTGAGCCACAAAGTAGCAAAAGCAAGAACTGCTTGTTCCAGTTAAAGACAGAAAGCAGAAAGGGGTTTATTGTTGGTTATGTAGCCTGGGAACCACTATGAATAACAGGCATTGTAAGGCAGAAGAGAAATTGTTGTAATTAAAAGCAAAGTAAAATACCTAAGGCCAGGCCTCCATATCCAGAGATGACTGTAGTGAGTAATGGATTGAAAGACAAGCTAGTGGAGTGATTAAGAGCTTAGACTCTGAGCTAAAACTTTTCTTGGTTCAAATCCCAGCTCATCTTATTTCTTGGCTTTATGGCTGTGGGTAAGTTATTTAACCTTTCTAACCTCTTCATCTGAAAACAGTAGTAGCTCTTCATAGGGTTGTTGTAAATAAAAAGTGAAAAAAAATCTATGTAAAAAGTACTTAGCACAGTGTCTGGAACATAGTAGGTACTCAGTAAGTCTTAGGTGTTTGTATTTATTTATTTATCTTCTTAATTATTTAATACTTACTTGAATCAGCTTCCCTTTTACCTAATCACATGATTTTATGTGATTTTTCTGGGTTTCAGCCGTGGTCTGTGGCCATAACAAAGAGCTGCAGCTTTAACTAAAGAAAATTGTCTTGGGCTAAAAGAGTAAACATTTTTTGATCACCTCTGGGATAATGACTACTATGGAAGACATGATGGTGGTGGTAGTGGGAGGGAGTGTGATGAAAGAAAATGAGAAATATTATACAATCCCTTGAGGCATTGAGATTCTACATTGAAAGAGATGAGGTATACACTTACATGGGAGAAAAACCTGACAGATGATTCCCAAGCAACATATTCATATGTTGAAAATTATACCGTCTAAATTAGAATGTTTGGAGTAGTTGAAAGACAACTATCAATATTGGTCCTTAACAACTTTGATTTTCTTTGAATGTCTTCTACAAAGAAGGAAAAGAACTATTAGAACTATTAGGTAGAACAATAGTTTGACACGACTAAAGATTGTCTCAAATCTGCTCAATATTTAACCTCTTTTTTCAAAGCATAGACACTTTTAAATCTTGATTCAAAAGCCAACTAAACACTAGAGGGCAGATTGTGAGAATGTAATGTGTTAATACAATTAAAATAGCTGCCAGCCTCAACACTCATTGTGGTTATGTGAACATAAGTACAGGCATGAGGGGGAAAGTTCCAAAGCTTGCTAACCTGATAGTGTTTTGTAATTTTATCATTCTACTTTGTGTTGACCACTTCTCAATACTTTTAAAAGAATTCAGGCTTTAGAAAAAATGGGAAAGTCATGAAAGTTTGTAAGTGCTCAACAAAAACATTATAAATTAGATGTTAAGCTGACACATTACAGAGCTTGAGATGCTTTCCATCCTGAGAAACTTAGGAAAAAAATGTGGCTTTGAAAATATGGTTTAGAAATAATCATATAGAGGCCAGGCACGGTGGCTCACGCCTGTAATCCCAGCACTTTGGGAGGCCGAGACGGGCGGATCATGAGGTCAGGAGATCGAGATCATCCTGGCTAACACGGTGAAACCCCGTCTCTACTAAAAATGCAAAAAATTAGCCGGGCGTGGCGAAGGGCGCCTGTAGTCCCAGCTACTCGGGAGGCTGAGGCAGGAGAATGGCGTGAACCCGGGAGGCAGAGCTTGCAGTGAGCCGAGATCACGCCACTGCACTCCAGCCTGGGCGACTGAGCAAGACTCCGTCTCAAAAAAAAAAAAGGAAACAAATAGTCATATAGAAGACAACATTGGTTCCTTGTTCTCTATCCCTGTGGTCCCCACTGCCCTCTGCCTGTTGAGAGCAGAGGTTTAGAAAGATGTTCTGTTTCCTGGCCTAAGAGGAGAAGGAAGGGAATGGATTTGGGCTGGGGAAAGATAGAAATAGGTGAAGTGGGTGGCAGGAAGTCACTTGGCCACAACTGACATTTTAGGAAAATGAAAAGACCTTGAACTAGGGCTGCTGTGGCAATATGTTGACAGCTAAGAGATGGTTCTCCAAATTTACAGAATTGTCTGCCATGGACATCTTTTAAAAGGAGAAAAAGCCACTGTTATAAGCAAGCCGGGCCATCTCCATTTCTAGAAACAAGTGAAAATGAGCATCTTTCATTGGATGGTTAAACATTGTTTTGAGGGTCACTTGGGAATGAGCTAATTTCTTTCAGCCTGCGATCCACTTCAGATGTTTGGTTCATCATCTCCGATCTTTCATCTAACCTGACTTTCTTTCTCTTTGCTTCTTTTCTGCAGTGCTCATGTACCCCAAGTCAGCAATGTGTCTGCAACCGGAGAGTAAGTTATTTGGGTTGGGTTTTTGGGCTTTGGGTTTTATTTTTAATGCCCTTTCCCACTTATTAAACAGAAAAAAAAAAAAAAAAGCAAGTCTAATGGTGTACAGTATTGGAAGATTCAGATAATAAGCAGCCAGTGACTTTTAGACTATATGGAGGAGAGGACTACATAGGTTTTCTTATTTGAGCTTCTGTATGTGTATTCCTACAGATGACTCCAACATTAGAAAACATGAGCTTTTTGTTTACTTCATTAAAAATAATGCCAGGATCATTTAATATTGGCAAGTAGTCTAATGTGCTTTGGGAGGCATCTTGCAATGGATAATGTAATTAAAAGTTAAACCATTAATCATGTCTTTACTCCTGCTTAGTTCATTTGACTGAACCTACATTGACTGAGTGCCTGCAACACACCAGGCACATGTTAGATGTGTAATGTCAAAGATGCCTTGGGCCCTGTCTTCAGGGATGTTACAGCCTAATAGGGATGCAGAAAAGAAAGCGAGTTAGTGATGGCAGCAAGTCCCTGGTCCACAGGGCAGTGGCAGTATTCTCTTAATTATGTCATCACATGCCATTTCCTCCAAAGTCTTCCACTGACACTTAGACTAAACCTAAACTCCAGTTATCAGTCCTTGCTAACGCCTCTGACCATAGTGCTCATTACACTTCAGCCACATGACCTGCTGTTCCCAGGGAGGGCCAACCTTATTGCTGCCTCAGAGACTTTGTGTTGGCTGTTCCTCAGCCTGACCAGCACTTTCTTATCATTCACTCCTTGTTCAAGTATCATCTTATCCAGGATTCTATTCCTAACTACCCATATTCACTTGCCACCACTTTACTCAGTGTTTTAGAGAACTTATTACTATTGGAAATTACATTATTTCTTTTTTATCTATCTTGCCCTACAGGAATGTAAGCTCTGTAAATACAAGGAGCTTGTCTGTCATATTCATTGCTATCTCCCTACTGCCTAGAAAAGTGCCTGGCATATATTAGGCACTAAGTAAATAGTCATCGAATGACGGAACAGCTCCTGGCCCACATAAGTTTCCATCACACGTACCTGTTCTCCTTACTTGCTGGGACATGAGTGGGCCTTTTTGGAGCATCTTCTCTTGGCAAGGATCAGGTGTAGGAGGTGGGGTGGATGTGGTGTGATAGGGAGAAGAGAGAAGAATTAGAAGAAGCACTAGTTGAAATGATCTAACAGGATGGATTTCAATTTTTTTAATTCCTTGTTGGGAGAGAAAACAATCAGAGGGCAGGACTGACCTCCTTTGGCTTTGTCAGTTTCAAAGATATTCAAGAACTGCACCAAGACTGACATGTTCTTGCCTTTTTCATTTCCTAATAACCTTTCCTTATGGGAAAGGTTAGCTTGGAAAAGCTATGTATAGCTTGGAAAAAGTGCAGGGTTGTTCTGTTTAGGTATTTCCGTTTCATCTGGATGTTTGGTGTGTTGTAGGAGGCCACCTCTGACATAATGCATTTTATGGCTTCCTCATGAATATGTTATTTATATATTATGTACATCTCTTATGTGTATATTAACTTACAATCCTCTGTACTGCAATTAAATAATCTTGAATCATTTGACACATGGAGTTCTATGTATAAAAGTTCTAATGCCCAAGTTAATTGGACTATACTTCCTCATGATCTTAAAATATTTTTAATAAAATTTGAATAAGATAACTATGAGTAGATTATAAAACTGCATTTGAAAAATCTGAAATTAGTTAAGTTCTCAAAACACATTTTATTTAAGTAAATGCTATTTCTCAGCCTGAGCATTTAGAATATATATATAGTTCTTTTTCAAGTGAAAAGAAACATGATTTGAGGAGTCAAGAACTTTCCATACCAGCTTATTTGGAAATAATGTGGTGCTAAAAGAAAGTTTACACACCTTGAAAGATTCTACAGCTTTAAAAATTATTCCATTTATAGCTTGCCATGCACTTTTCAGCTCTTTGTGCTTATCTCTTTTCCTCAGGTTGAACAAAGTAAATCTATCCTTCCAATTTCAATAATATGTTTTGGGGTGTTTGCATGAATACAACTTTAATTATAAATATCATAATTTAATTGAATAGAGGTTAGGAAAGATTATGCCATGCTGTTATGAGTTCTAATTGTTCTGGTGAGTTTTTCCCCCAAATATCATTATTTTCATATAATTTGTCTTAGATTCTAAATAGATAATAGGCATCATAAAATTATTTGTGCCAGTTTGCTTTGCAAATCACTCTCTCTTCCTCTGTAGAATTGGTATGAAATTGCCTTTGTGAGAATAGGTCTACTATTATTCTATGAGGGCAAAAAAAAATCTTTCCTCATTCTACTTTATATTAACTGACCCCGGTTTCCTGAATGCCTCATAATTGTTGCTAGACTTGCCATGAGCATTTCAGCAATACTAGCTTCACGAAGATGAGAAAGTTATTAAATTGGCAGAATTGTTTTCATTTAGTTTTGGTTTTAGCACATAATGCAGATATTTTTTAGATTAATGCCTCATCATTGCTCATGAAGTTCTAAAGACCTTACATTGGAAATACAGGTGTTCCCAAAACTGTAGGCACATATTTTTTTAAGGTGATCACTGATGAATTTGACTGCTTGAATGACTCTGCATTCTTTTTTGCCAGACTCTTAGAAAGAACCATACGATCAGCTGTAGAACAACATCTTTTTGATGTTAATAACTCTGGAGGTCAAAGTTCAGAGGACTCAGAATCTGGAACACCATCAGCATCTTCTGCCACATCTGCCAGACAGCGCCGCCGCCAGTCCAAGGAGCAGGATGAAGTTCGACGTGGGAGAGACAAGTGAGTTGGCATTGATTCTTCTTACTTGAGTTTTCTCTTCTTTGAAAAATATACACCCAAATTAGTCACTATGTTATAGTCATACCTCCTGGTCCTCTCCCATTTCAGTATTTGGGTTAAAACTTTAAGAGTTTTCAGTTTGCCTATTCTAAACTTAGCTACATTTGGAAATTTATAGGTGATTGCATAAATATTTCCATTTCATCCAGACATTTGGTATGTTGTTAGAAACCACCTCTGATTGAATACACCCTATGGCTTCCTCATAAATATCTTATTTAGAGGGATTCTGAACCATGGGTAGAGAAAGTTACCATATGCTTGTCCAGAGGTATTTTTTTTTCTTGCTAGACAACATTAAGTTGACTATTTAGACTTGTTTATGAAGCAGCTGATTTCTCCATTATATTTATGTGATTAAATAGTCAGATATCACTATAATACTCTAACATTTGATTATGTTTTAGTATAAGAAAAGTTAGGCTTAAATCTACTCAAAAAATGAAAAGCTTAAGTTCTTTATTATAATAATCACTAATTTTAAGGCATTCCCATAGTATGAATTTTCAGAACAGTGTTACAAAGAGCTTTATTCTCCATGAGAAAAGATTTAATAAAATACAGATGAGCAATTACCATTTATGTTATTTAATAATCATGATTTAAATTGTCAAGGAAAATAAATTTATATAGAGAATAGACTATGCAGATAGTCCTATATTTTCCCTGAAAGTTCCAAGGTTATTTTTATTGACTGTAGCCTTTAGCCTCTTTATGGTTGTTGTTTTGAACTCCTTATTAAATGTCAAAAACTAAACTGAACCAGACCCTAGCCCTCCTCATTCTTTTTCTTTCTTTTTCAATTTTTAATTTTTATGAATATATAATAGTCATACATCCCTCATTCTCATTCTTTTTCACCTAGACTCATAATCTACATTAAACCCTTTATGGAAAAAGCAAAAAAGCTTTGTTTTGTTTAAAGAAAAACACAAAAGATAAACAGTATAAATAAGTTTCATGCTGTACCTCACCGAGATGTTTAAGTGCTATATTAGCAAATGTAACTTTAGAAATAGAGCAGTATCAATAATATAACCCACTGATTTACAGGTAGCATATGCAGTACTTTTCAAATAAATTCTCATGGAGCTGGTGGATAGAATAGTTGTAATATTCCATTTAGAAAATAGAAAAATTATAATACAGGAGATATTTACATTTCTTCTATCCTGTGGCATGACATGAGATATTTACATTTAAAATTAGGTACTGGCATGTTTATAGAAAATGTTTAGAAATATAATTAGTTTATGTACTACCTCTAATATGTTGTAGAGAAAGCACAAATTATTCATTTAACACTGTTCTTATCCTCTGCCTCATTTTTTGCTGAGGAGTATGTAGCAACATTTTGCATTTTAAAAATATCCTCAGTGTGTCACGATATCCTGCTTTCCACCCTCTTTGTTTAGACAGAGGGCTAGCAGGTGGAGGTGGGAAGTGGTGGGGAGCATGAGAGAGAACAGAGTGTGATGGTGCTGTTGGTGGATGCTTGGCAGCAGGTCTCGGGGAGGACAGTGGAGGTAAAAACAGATGAGGGCCAGACAGTGCAGGGAAATGTGAAGCACAGCCTCACCTCTCCTGAAGAATTTAAATAGAGAACTTCCCAAGCCCAGGGACATTTCTAGCATAAGTTATCTTGATTGTTTTTTTACCAGCAACATCAGGAGAACAAAAGGAGATGGGGAATGGTAGCTGAGTGATGGTCTGAAGACTATACCCATGAAGCCCTAGCCTTTCCCTTAGTTGTTCTTCTCTTGCTATTGCCTTCACCACTCCTCCTGGTCAAATTACAGTTGGGCATTGAGGAAGAGAATCTTGGGGTGCAAATAGTACCTAACCTGAGACACTGTGACACAATCGTGTCTTGATAGTCCTTCAACTCTCAGTCCACACTGAATGGCTTCTCTTAGCTCTCCAGGTCTTTGGAAGAGTGAGACCCTTATCTCTCAAAGCCCCCAGATCCCCTAATTTTGTCTGGTCTAGCTTCGACCGTAGGTCAGTAGTCATTTCCTGCAGCCCTTCTCCCCTCATCTTCATATGCTGGGTTCTGTCATCCTTTCATTCAACTTCCTTGATCCAGCGTTCTCATTCCACTTATTTCTTCCCACCTCCACTCTTTTCCTTTTGCACATCTGCTTGCTTGAAATACTTTTCCAGCAGGCTGATTCTTTCAGCATCTCCTCTTTGGTGTCAGATTTCTCTTTTAACCTTCCTTTCAATGAGCCACTGCCATAAACGTCTTCTCCAGTATCTCCAGAAGAGTCATGAACATGCCATAAATTATAAGAAGGTCAAGAATCATTAATATAGCCTACAGTCAATGAGTTTATCATAGTATATGCTTCTATACAATTGATTCATTTAAGATTTTTCACAAGTCTTTATTCAAAAAATAAGGAAAGATTAAGCATGCTGCTATAAAAGACACATGCACACGTATGTTCATTGCCGGCACTATTCACAATAGCAAAGACTTGGAATCAACCAAATGTCCATCAGTGACAGACTGGATTAAGAAAATCTGGCACATATACACCATGGAATACTATGCCAGCCCATAAAAAGGGATGAGTTTGTGTCCTTTGTAGGGACGATGGATGCCAGCTGGAAACGCATCATTCTTAGCAAACTATCACAAGAACAGAAAACCAAACACCGCCATGTTCTCACTCACAGCGTGGGACACTGAACAATGAGATCACTTGGACTCGGGAGAGGGGGACATCCACACACCGAGGCCTATCATGGGGGAGCGGGAGCGGGGAGGGATTGCATTGGGAGTTTATACCTGTGTAAAGGACGAGTTGTTGAGTGCTGACGAGTTGATGGGTGCACACAGCACATGGCACACAGTAACATATGTACAACCTGCACGTTATGCACATGCTACCCTTAGAACTTAAAGTATAATAATATAATATAATAATAAAAG